CTAGGGTGGGTGTCATTAAGTAATTAGTGTAGCACGACTCCTTCACTGTAATACCTAATTGTAATATGTTCCATATTTACTAATAAAGATTTACAGCGTATAAGCAATTTACAAAAAAAAATAAAAAATAAAAAATAAAAAATAAAATATTAAATGATCCCTTGATGATAAAAAATATTATACAGCCAATCAAATTCACAAAATGACACAGAGATTATTCTAGAATGTGATTTTCTAATTTAGCAAAATCCCTGACTGTATTGCTATTGTATAAGCTACATTTTCTTCAGAAGCATCTTTATTAGGCCAAACTTTCTTTAATATCCTTGCTATATACGTCTCTTTAGAATCTTTTTCTATCTCTTTAAATAGCATCTTATAACAATCTTCAGTCTTTTTCGAGTGCTTCCAAATTCAAATCTCATCTGATGAAGCCGAATTATTTATGAGATCTAAAAGACTCCCAAAAACAAAAAATATATATTTTTCTTTATATTATTAGCAACTCTCCCTGACAATTACTTGTACCAAATTTTCCTACCAAACAAAAACAAAAAATTTGTTGAAGTAGCTGATGTGACTATTGAATGGTTCTTGCAAAGGTCAACCTTTTTGTTGAGGGACTCCTTTGGCATATTTGGCATGCAAGCCAACAGCATTAGTATACAAGATAATTGGCAAAAAGGTAGTACTCTTGTATACAAAATTTTGGTAATAAAAGCCTAAAGAAAAAGGTCTTTTTGTTGACGAAGTAACCGAGAGACAATAAAGAAAAGGGGAACAACAAATAAGTTTTTTAACACACTCTTTAAAAAATTTAAAGTACCTGTTTCTGACAAGTGACATACTTTTTTATATTCTCGCCGGGTTTTTTGGTGTTTCTCTCGAAATTTTTTCCAAAATGTGGAAATTTCGGTGTACTCCCTACAAAAGATCAACATTGCTTACGTAACCAAATCAGGAATGGTAAGTCATGAGGAAGTAACGTTTTATATGTGTGAATAACATGTAGCGGATCTGTAGAGTAAACAAAAAAAAGTTCATATTCCCACTTTATTAAACTATTTTAATACCAAAGTAAAGTGAAGGTAGTGATTGTTTTACGAAGTATTAAATAATTTTTAAGCCCTGCACTAGTGCAAATAGTGTTGTTATGTTTCTGTTTTTTTCTTTGCCCTTCTTTTCTTTTTGTTTTTTTTATTTATTTTTTTTGTTTTTTGTTTTTTGTTTAGATTTTGTAGCTTCTCCTCTTTTTTTTTTTACTATCTTTTTTTAGTTTAGTTTTTTTTGGTTACTTGTCGTTCTTTAGACAAGAATTATGGAATCCTCTTGCTTGATAATTAGAAGAGGAGAGATTTAAAAGAATTGCAGTCATGACAGGCTATAAAAACTATTTGTTGATATACTTGTTTTTTCATTTGTGAGTAAATAAGTAAGAAGATAAACTTTACTATAGCCAGTGTTGGCAATTCTACCGGCCAAACCAAATTTGTTTGCCTTTTCGGCTAAAAAATTAGCCAATTCGGCCAAAAAAACATATGAATTTGGCTAAATTGCTATTTTTTGGCCGGCCAAAAATATGTTTGGCCGATAAAATTGCCAACACTGACTATAGCAAATCGAACATAGGTATTTGTCTGAGAACAACCAGGTTAGCTAATACTTGTAAGTTAGGTAACTAGACAATTGGTTTAGTAAAGTTGATAGACTATATAGTTTGTTTATTTATACCTAATAAAGTGAAAGCATAACTGCTGAATTAAAAAAAATATATTTCTTGTATAATAGGCATTCTGCTGATTCGGTATATTTTTCTTGTAATCTTCTTTATAATTACTCCTGACATATCTATCTAATTCCGTTCTGATTGGCTCTTTGTCAGAATAAATCGCTTTAGTTAGAATTTCTTTAGATACATTTTTAATAATATTCTATAAATAAAATTTATTAAAGTTATTTAAAATATTAAATAATATTAAAAGATAAATTGAAACTTAATAATTACTTCTTTAAATATTTTATCATTGGAAAAATCAAAGTTATTGTCTAATTTTTCTTCAATATCTTTCAATCTAGTTTTCATAATCCTAACTTTCACTTTAATATTTTTAACTTCCTTAAGTATCTTGCCTTGATTTTTAATAATCTTCGATAGAGCTTGTACCCGTTATAAAATTTGAGCTCCGGGTTACTCACCCGTTTAAAATATCATTACCAGGTCATAAACTGGGTCATCTTAAATTATCCGGGTTACCCGGGTAACCCAGTTGACCCATTTCACTTATGAAATTTTTAAAAAATTTATTTTATACTAATAAAAAAAAAAGGGAAATTAGGACCTGAAAAGTGAAAATAATTACAAATACGAGACCAAATCAAAAATAATTACATATAAGAGCCTAATTTTTAAAAAAAATTATATAAGGCCTACTATACGATAGCAAAATCGCGATTATAGAATTATCGATAATTATCTATATACTGATCATTAGATAAAAGGATAAATGAAGTGCTATTTAGTTATAATATTGCATAAAAATAGGATTAAACTAGCACAAATATTCATAAGGCAAGGTTTCAACAGAGTATATAGCTCTCTAAAGCGAACATCCGTATATTTGTGAATTATCTAAAAAAGAACTAAAGTTTATGTGATACTAATTATATATTCGAATTCTCAATAAAAATTTATGCAATTATAATTTTGCTTGAATGCCATTGCAATCACTTGCTAATCACATCAGAATGATGTTTGAGAACAACACCCTTGTTCTCTTATTATCCAATGATCCTGCAACTTCAATTGTTGTTATATGATCTGGTCTCTTGGAATGCATTATTAAACTTATTACATCAAACTGCATTCAACTTATTGCCTTAAAAATTTCTGCGATTTTTGAATTAATTTTAGAGAATAATTAGTATGCTACAATTTTACAGCTGTTTTTGGACATTTGATAAAAAATTAACCAAAGGATTATTTGGCCGATTCAATAAGATTTTGATAAACTTTTGATTTGGTTTGGTTATTAATTTAAGATATGTCGAAGTCAAAAATTTATCGAATCGGCCAAACAGTCATCTTATGGATAATTAATCCGGGTCACCCGGTTAACGATACTATGACTCGGTTAACAGGTGTTAACCGGGTTACCCGGGTAACTCTTATACGGGTACAAGCTCTACCCTGGACACTCTAAATCGAACCAAAAATAAGCTATGCACATTTTAATATGTGATTTTATGATAATAATTGTCATTGCTGTTTGAGATTTAATTTAAGAGTAACTCCAGATAATACTTTTGCGTCTTCACTTAAAATTATTTTTAGCGTGAATTATGCACCGAAGTACCCTGGACTAGGGGTTGGACCCGTTGAGAAAATCCCTACCCGGGTATTATTAAATTACCCGGGTTATCCGGGTAATTTATTATGATCATATATCAACAATTTCTACCCGGGTCCAACCCCTAAACGCACAATCCGTAAAATGCCCATCATTCGTGACGCAGAGTTTATTATTTGAATTTGACTAGATATGCTAAAAAAAATGCTAAGTACAAAAATTCGTACTGATACAGACAATTTATCAAGTAATATGCTATCTCAAAGCAAATTTTTTTAGCTATACGATATAATCATATCTGGAATTCAAATGCATTGCTAATATTTTAATAAATTCTAAAACATCACAAAATTCATGTGATAAACCCGAATTATTAAAACCGGTTCCAACCTCTAAATGAGGTTCCCTTCAATTTTTTCAACAGCTAGTGATAAATTAGAAACCGCATTCAGCATTAAAAGATGTTCTGCAGGTCGTAGCCTTTTATCTTCCAACTCAGCACAATCTTGAAGCAAATAGTTCGGCCCGGAGAAGTCCCTAACATCAAACTTCAGTAAAATATCCAAATCACTTATTTTTTTCTTCACCTCATTCCAAGCATTTGTAGTAAAATACAAATGAACATGAGCATGACATTCCTGTACATATTTATTTTGTGACTGTCCAGTTTCCCATGCCCCATAATTAATTGCTATGGAATAGAAGTCTAAACTCCGACGTTTACTCAGTAAGTCCTCCCAAAATGATTCTTGTTGTACCAAAGTTTCGTTAGTATAATGTTTAAATTTTTTTTTTAACCTTTGGTCGTGGAACCAATAATAATTCTCGAAATGGTTCTCTTCATAATAATACAACGTCCTCTCCATTGCTTAGTTCATTCACGATAAGTTTTGCCCTATAAGAAATTTTATCCGAATAACTCCATTATTTTTTGTGAAAACTCCGTGAATTTGCAACATGATCGACAAAATCTAGACAAGCCGAATAATCTCCATGATTTAAGGTTATAAGTTCCATGAATATGCAACATTTATGGAAAAAACATGGAATATAAAACACGGATCGACATTTTTTATAGGGTTGTAGCAAAATAAAAATTGCATGTAGTTTGTCTTCCATCTCTAGTTACCACATTTGCTTTACAAATAATTTCAGGATGATCACCTGAATCTACAAAATCAAGATTAAATTAGTGGGACTCTGTTGAATAAGTACCATTGGAAGAATAAATAGTTTTACTCATACTCACGGCACGTTTCCTTGGGATTTTTACGGCTAGGAAAGTATGGACATAGAACAAATGCTTTGTCTTTTTCTGTCTCTTTATGATCTACGATAAATGGTGCTTCATCCTCAGGTGAAACTTTAAGGCGCGTATTTGTAATGTATTGTCTAGCAACGTTAACCACTTCGGTAAAATCACATACATTTTCTGGTTCCGGAGATAAACGTCGAACCACAATGAGGTGTCAAGACAAATTTGGAAACATGCTTTTTCTTCTGAGAAATTAACTACCAGGCGATATGATTGCTTTAATTTAGATGTTAAACAATTTAAAAGAAGGTTTGAAGCCTGAACAAGATTAGTACGAAGGATAAATTGCAAGCGAAAAAAATACGTAACGTAGCATGACGGAAATTTTTAGCTGGGACCCGGAAAATTTTAGACCTAAAATTTTCTAAAATTTCAAGTATCAACTCAAATTTTTTAAAATTTCTAAATTTGGGAAAATTTATGTCTAAAATTATCGAGTTTAACTGAAATTTGGCATGCTCTACCAAAATCCACATGACTATGAAAAAAGAAGGCCTCAAATTTCATAGTTATCCAATTTCGCCATCATCTGTGACAATAATTGACGTTTTTTGTTATTAATACTATAACAAGCTAACAATTCTACAGGTTATTTGGATTTGTTGAATACCAAAAACTTAATATGCATGGAGATGAAGAATACGATCTACAATTGAATACCGGTGTATGTAAAGATGAAATAATTCTACAAAATGTAACGTTCTACTACTGTTCTACTGTAGTTTATTATATGGATTGGGCGTCATCTTTTAAATATGCTTAAAAAAAAGACATTAGACAAATTGAATAATTGTATTTACATTATATGGACTTAAGTTGATTCCGAATCTACGCATGTTCCATATCCACCTACAATATATACAAACGAAGGTTTACCTACAAACATTTTCCCGATAACCTCGACAACCATTTCCCCGACATGACGTGATTGTTGGGGAAATATTTTTCAGGAAAATAGTTGTCGGGTAATTATCGGTAAACCACAAACGAAATCAAATTATAATTAAAATTTAAAATAGTAGGCAATATAAATAAAACATTGCATTATTATCCAAAGTCAGTTTTCTACAGCATTTTTAAGGAATTTATTTCTTTTTTAAATTAGATACTGAACGATGTGGACGACAGGCATTTCCAATTAATAATTATATTTTATATTTAGTTGATATTAGTGACACAATTTCATACCCTTCGAAGGTATTCCATCTCTACATAGTATTGATCTATCGGGATTTTCAAAAGTCCTTTCAATTTAAGTTTCAAGTGCATTTATTTAAATGCTCTTTTTATAATCAATTAGGGACGTGTCAGATATTATGATAAATTTGCCTTTACAGTAATTAAAAATATATTTTCTTTTGAAGATGAAATATTGAACTAAGAATCTTTGCAAAATATGACTACCAAATATTATAGTTTGTTTTAAGATCAGAAATCAATTTAAGTTGATTCTGGATTTGAAATTAACTTAAGTGGATTCCGAATTTATATAATTCCAAATCTACCCGTAACATATACTTGTTATGATGACCAAAAGCTCACACATAAATTACATAAAAAAAAATTGATCAACCGATTTTGAAAAAAAACTTGAGCGGATAAGTTGAAAATTAACTTCAGCCGATTTTTTCATTATTCATCCAAATTTTTTTGCAAGTCAACAGGATGTAGTGACACTCTTGAGAATATGAGTTTTTTTGTCGACTGGCAAGTGTATTTTAAGCATTGTTGTCTTGGGTTTGATTTGTCTTTTGTTTTTAAGTTTTGTAAGAAGTGAAATGTTTGCATAAATTAAATAGCAATAAATGATAATGAAATAATAATACCAGGCTCTTGACAAAACACGAGATCGGTTCCAATCGATTCATCGTACTCTCCCTTAAAATACATATTACCGATACGCATCCGTGGATTATCTGTTTCTAATCCCTGATTCAATAATTGAAAAGAATAAGACTTTCTACTAGTTCACCAATTAAAAATCTTTTATTAAATTCATGTAATTAAATAAATAGCTCACAATCAAAGAATATGTGACGTCTTCTTTTATTTTTTCGCTTTCTCCATCACCTCCACTTCCACTAACATCAGTATCTTGATTATCATTGCCATCATTAATATGCTATCATCAAACGAGAACATTTAATGAAAAATGATATTTACTCGGATTGATGTTTTTTATTATTCTACTGTTGTCCGTTAACATGTCAAGTGTAACTTCAGTCCCTAGATCAAGTATTATATATGATGTCTTTAAATATAAATATAAATGAAATATAAATGTACAAAGTTATGAAGTTTGATAACGAACTCAAAAAGTGCGTCAAATCGAGTAATTTCGAAATACCTCTATCTCATATTCGCTTTCACTTTCACTTTCACTTTCACTTTCTTTTCCGTTACTATCGGACCTATGTTTGTTGTCGAATGTCTTAACACTTGTTTGTGAAGAAATAAGTTCCATGAGAGTATTGCTACTGCGCAGGGACGGTGATTTTCTGCGGTGGTTAAGACTAAATTCTGCATGCGGTTAAGGTAAATTCTGTGATTTAATGTGA